TCCGTGTTTGTGAATTCTTGAAAAGTTGTATTCTTATAAAAAGAATTGCATAAGCTTCAAGTTACTTTGAAAGCCGGATGTAAAATTGAGTTGTTTTTGCTTCATGTTCTACTATTAGTTTTTTGAACAAACTGAAATGATTGACCTATGTGATTGATGATTTCTAAAAAAAGGAAGTAGGAGGTACAATTCCTGCAGGAAGTGAAATTACTGCAAATCTGGAAATCTCGATCAACACCTTTTCACCTAGTAATTTAGTTGTCGGCAGAAAGTACCCATTATAACGAACGACTAGATCTAAGGCCGAATTTAAAAGCCTAAATCGAAAAAAATCAGCATTTTGCAAGGTTGGTCGCTGGAGTTTTCGTGATTGCAGCAGCCAACTCAAACGTGTAATGGCGGTCCCCAATTTGGACGGCACAGATACGAGCAAACAAATCCATCCGGACAACCTTTGGTACTACAATCGCTCTGAAAAATCGCTTGTTGAATGATAGTCTTTTCAGCAATTCTCAACAATAGCAAATATTGTCAAGCTGCAGTAGTAGTAGTTGTTGTAGTTGCAGTAGTAGTTGTTGTTGTTGTTGATGATGTCGTAGTTGTGGTTCGAATTAAAGTACACGACGTCCAACAATCACCCCAACTTGGATGACAATCATCATAAGTGCATGCATATCCATCCGGGGCAATTCGCATCCGTTGCACACTAAAGTTTTATGTTCTGAATTATCTCCAAAATTTCTATATCTTGTCAATGTACTGAGTGCTTTGATTGTTTTTTTGATTTTTGACTGTCATTTTTGAGAACACTTGTTGACTTATAGCCTTTAAAGACAAACACGTACCGAACTCTGAACTCCGATAAAGAGAAAAGAGGCGATCACCGGAAACACAGCAGGTTTGAGCACTCTTAAAACCAAATCAGATAAAATTTCGCTTACAAAAAGACTTTATCTTGAAAAACTTAAGGAAACTTGTTGATTTCAGGAGTTAAAAAGAAAGCTTGGAGTTACAAGAAGTTAACTAGCTTGACCAAAACTTGAAAACTACAATGAGCCTTCAGTGGAGTAACGCTTAAATACTGATCCTGGAAAGTTTTCATCAGAATTCACTTTATTCTATTGGGTTGGTGGAAAAGGCCTTTCGGATTTTTTGGGAGAGTTCCCTAAAATTTACCATAATAACAAAGAAGAGAAAACAAATAACAAACAAAAATTTCAGAAAACAAATAACAAACAAAAATTTCAGAAAACAAGAAAAAAAAGCGGCGTTGAGTTTTCGGTTGAATGCATACAAAAACAGGTGTCGCTGGTGCTCCTCCGATACAACTTGACACGACATTCCTGAAAAAAAGCCTTCTAACAACATAAAAAATGATAAAACAAAAAAGGGGGGAAAAACGGAAGGAAAATCGCGAAAAGCGGCGGAAAGGCTATTGATCTGAGGGTCGCTGGTTCGACTTCCACCGGTGACAATATTTTTCGAAAATTTTTTGCTAAGATTCTGAAAATGCGTGTCTAGGGGGTTATTTTTGACGTTGATCACGAAACACATGTTTTTAGTCTAGGTTTCTGCACGGAAAACTAGCGAAACGTGAAAACAGCCATTTTTTGGCTCTGCCGCCCTTTACTAAAATAGCTATAAAAACTTTAGAAAAGAGATATCTCAAAACGGTTTTTACCAATCGATCCGTCTTGAATTCAGCTTTAGGATGAGCTATAAAACCTCAAAATTGGAGAAATTTAAGGTACTCTCCCAAAAATCGGAAAGGACTTTTCCATCAACCCAATATTTTCATCTCAAATCTTTTGGCACTATTCCCAAGTACAAGTACAATATTTTTCAGAATAATAGTAAGTGTGTATCTCTAGTTTGCTTGATCGCTTATCAAAAAGGGGAACTCGTTCTTTCGTATTGAAAAGATCACAAACCGGGGAATGACCATAAGCTTTATGCAAGTCACAGTGGAGCTGTGGATCTAAAACTTGTATTCATCGAATTGTTTACAGTTGAGGAGGTTGTATCTTTTCATTTAGGTATTCTTGAAGGACTGATTTTGTAGCTGATTTTGTAAAAGCACTGTTTTGGAAGACTTTATCAAGTCTTTAAGCTTGGTAAACCATTTCCCAGTTTTGATTTTTGATGTTTTGCATTTATGGTTTGTGTTTATGTCACACTTTTACAAAGTTTTTTTACACTCATACAACAATTAGTCTCAAATAAGGAGGGCCGATAAGACCCAGATGACCACATTTGCAGAGTGGAATCAGCATCAAATGCAGCCTCGAATGGTATAGATCACATAGCATTTGGCTCAGCCAGTTGATCTTCCCTTGTTGATTGATTAAAAGACATCGACGGCTTGAATCGACACTTCACTTCCAACACACAGCTCCTTCCGGAACAATATCGCATCTTGTTGTGGTAAGTCAACACGTTAACAGTAATCCGATCTACCAGACCTTGGATCCGTTCGAGTTTTGGCCTGAGGATCTGAGCCGTATCTGACATTGATTGAATTAGCATCTTGATCACTTGATCTGATAATTCCTAAGTAACCAGGGAAAACAAATGGTAATTAAACCCTTTTCAGCACACCCAGGCACAGCGCGACAATTATGCAAACTTGCAAAAACTGCAAACGATTCTAACAAAGCTGTCTACCACGCGGCGGCGAACAATCGCTCAAATCAGTGCCACCCCCAACAATCTAGCCTATCTCAGCGGCCAAGTTGGAAAGTAAGGCCGTGGAAGGCTAACAACTTTGTTAACTTTTTAAAATGAATCTTTCGTAATAAACTCTTGTAATGCTTTTTGATCGAAGAGACAGAAAAATGGCAAAACAAAAGCGCAAAGCACAAAACACAAACCATACAGGGTGGCTGATAATTACGTGCGCCAAAGAAAACGCCATAATTTAATTTTCTTTCAAAGAAAATGTAAAAATCTTTATTTATATAATAGTTGTAACAAAAGCATTTAATAATCACAAGAAATTTTCGAAGTGGCCTCCATCCGCTTTGATACAGGCTTCAATTCGCTTCTTTACAGAATCGACGGTGCGGCGGAGATAATTTGCATCTAAGTCGTTCCAGATTTTGATCAATTCTCGACGTAAATCATTCAAATTGGTGATTTTTCTATTTCTCAATTGTTCTTCCATAAAACCCCAAACCGAAAAGTCCAACGGATTGAGATCCGGGCTGTTTGCAGGCCATTGATCCTTCGTCAAAAAAGAGCCAATTTTGGTTTCGAGAAAGCGAATTGTTGTTTTGGCTCCGTGGGCCGGCGCCCAATCTTGTTGAAGGGTCAAATTGGGATGGCTCCTCTTCCATGGCACCACAGCTTTCTCGAGAATCTCTTTTTTTGATAGACTTTTGCGTTAATCTTCACATTTTTATCGATAAAAACCAACGGGGTCTTGCCCGAAGCACTGATGCCACCCCAAACCATCAAACTTTTTGGAAACAGACCTTTTGTAGCGACTTTTCGTTTACGAGTGCTCTTGAGAGCTGGACTGAGAAGTTGACGGTGATTTTGTGAGTTTTTAGCCACTTCCAAGGTGAAAATCTTCTCATCTGACCAAAGAACATCGTCAATGCGCCGCACCTTGAAAAAAGCTCGCAATTTCTTGCATTTCTCCTTCCGGTTTTGCTTGGCTTGATCGGTGAGCACTTGCCCGTTTAACAGTCGATAACTTCGAAGTCCGAGCTCATTTTTCACTATCGATTGAACCGAGAAACGCGAGATTTGAAGCTGTTTTGCCATCTTGTTCAAACTACGATCGTCTTTTCGCTCGATCCTCCTCTTGATGATCCCACGCATCTTTCGGGTGTTAACGGTCCTCTTTGGTCCTCTTCCGGGCTTGGACTGAACATGCCCCTCATCTTTCCATTGCTTTACGATCTTCTGGACGGTCCTCAGAGCCACCCCAAGCCTCGATGCGATCGACGAGTTCTTCATGCCGCTCGTCGCCAGCTGTGCGATTGCGTCCCGACTAGCGCACGTCTTTGTCATGACCTAGAAAACAACTTTTTTAACAAAAAATTATTAGACCACGATAAAAAGAATATTAAAACACAAAAAGATGAGTAGTAATGCTTTATACATTGTTTAAAACTATGATGCTGATGCTGCGCGCACGTAATTGTCAGCCACCCTGTAAATGCAAAACATCAAAAATCAAAACTGGGAAATGGAATTTTTGTTTTTTGACTAGATCAGTTGCACAACAATCTGAGTGAAAAATAATACATTTGAGCTAAGAAATTCTCTGTTCGAAAGAAAACAAAAACGGTATTTAATGATGTTGGTTTTTTTTTCTGATCACTTCTTTTGAGCTAAACATTTGAAGGTCATTATTTTCTGTAGGAAAATTGAGGCGTTAGGATGATGAAAGTATCCTCCGTAAAAATGGGACCGAGGCACATAACGGGTGAGCTGTGAATTCGAAAAATTTCAGACTGAATCAACAATACACCAAGAGATGCGAAGACCGAAGAAATTAATAATATTAAAAAAATAACTTGTCTATTTGAAACGGTTGCAGCCACCAGCACTGGTTGTTCTTTTCTGGATCCACCGCCCCCGCCCACGATCCTTTCAACTCTTGCACCGTCTAATCTCAAAAAGTTCACTTCTAACGTCATATCAAACGCTTTTTGCTGGAGATTTCAGGAGTTCGATGCGCACTTTGGATCTTTCTTTTGCTTTTTTTCAAGAAGTGCTGACTAGTGTTCTTTGTACGCGCGCCCAACATATTTCAATTTTCCTACAGAAAATAATGATCTTCAAATGTTTAGCTCAAAAGAAGTGATCAGAAAAAAAACCAACATCATTAAATACCGTTTTTGTTTTCTTTCGAACAGAGAATTTCTTAGCTCAAATGTATTATTTTTCACTCAGATTGTTGTGCAACTGATCTAGTCAAAAACAAAAATTCCCATTAAACGCTTTATTGTAAAAACTAATTCTGGAATCCATCTTCAAAGAGATTATTATCCGGCAGCCTTTGCAATACAGAGTCCCCTTGCTGGGCCGCATGGAGCAGTTGTTGGTGGACAAAGAGAGCAAATCTCACATGGAGTGGCCGCAGAATTGTATGGAGGGGAATTGTTGGTCATTCCACTGAAAACAATAAATACTTGAGATCAGTTTGAAATCACTATTCGATTCATTCATTTGTCGTAGATTCCTTACCCGTTTGTTTGAAGAAGACAAGTGATACGATAAGTGCTTGTGTAATTCTTGTAAGCACAACCGATTGACAAAGCATTCTCACCAACAAACTAAACAATTCTTTTAAATACAAAAAGTGAGTTACTCTTTTTTTACCATCCAAACTTGATTTTGATAATGCTGATCTCTGATGATCGTTGTCAACAATTTGTATTGATAATTGAAGGTTGGAAAGGTTGGTCTCCAAACGTGCCCTTTACCGTAACATTTCTGAGAAAATTTCTCGATCAACACCTTTGCACCTAGTCATTTAGTTTTTGGTATAAAGTACCCATTATCTCACTCCTTTGGGGCAACCAAGTGTGGTGCAATCGGCCTGAAACAATTGATGTTTCATAAAAATCAGTTCAACCCCCTTCTAGTTGCTATTTTGTCGTTTGTCTTTTGTCTTTGTCTTCTGTTTAATGGATAAAGTGCTGTTTTCTCTTGGCTTTATTGAACTGCTTTTTTCAAGGTTACGGTAACAGGAAATCAGACATTTACTATTGATTGTAAATAACACGATCGTTTAATGAGATTTCTCCGTGTTTTTGAATTCTTGAAGAGTGGTATTCCTATAAAAAGAATTGCATAAGCTTACATAAGCTTGCATAAGCTTCAAGTTACTTTGAAAGTCGGATGTAAAATTGAGCTGTTTTTGCTTCATGTTTTACTATTAATTTCTTGAACAAACTGAAATGATTGATCTATGTTCTTTGATGATTTCTAAAAAAAGGAAGTAGGAGGTACAATTCCTGCAGGAAGTGAGATTGCCGCAAATCGGGTCTCCGAACCATTCAATTCTTGAAAAGTGGTATTCCCATAAAAAGAATTGCTGAAAGTGTTTCACAGAAAGTGATGAGACCAAAGTTTCTTTTTCTGAAGCAAAATTCTGAACTTCATTAAGCTAATCATCTTTTTGTGTTCCATAGTAAACTTTTCCAAAAAACTTTGCTTTTCAAATCTCTTTAGGCAATAAAGATTTAATATAAAATGAGTAAAATTGAAAGTCAAGGAAAAAAATGTTATGCAAAATGCTATGCAAAAAAAGCTATGCTTGAAATTCTCAATTCTCTCGACCAGAATCCATTATAACAAAAAAGAATCAGTTTTTCTCACTAAAAAAATTGAAGAGTCAGCTGAAAAAATTTCGTTGAATCTTTAAAAAGCACTCATTGTTACTGTAGATCTTCAGCTTTAAATGAAACAATTTTTCATTGCTCTTTGGGTAATCATATAAATTCTAGGACAGTTGAATAAGGCACCGTCTCGAATCACCCTTTCCCCGAATGGTTTCAGGAATGGAGGTGGGTCTTGGTTTCGATTGAGTTGTTCAAAAGTAGGTTACTATCCGGTTAAACCTTCACGTACCTTAGCCGAGGTTAAACCTAAAACCAGCGGAAACGCTCACTAAAGTTCGCATTTTCCACGCCATCCAAGCTCGGTCCCTTCTTGCCAATGGCTGCACACCAGACAGATGTCTCTTTCATATATAGTAGATATTGTTTTATCTACTTTATGCTTACTTGTTACCTTTGTTCTGAAATTATAATCGATAACAGGATAGTACAAGAAGTAGCTTACAAGTTCGCAATATGAGTTTGCTTATGGCGCAAGAATAAGTAATCAGGGTGCTGGCTCTGATAATAGATTTACTAACAGATCCATGCAGAAACTTCATAGATCTGACAGCTGTACAACCCGCTTTAAAGAGACTTGTGTGCCTGAGAAGGTCTAACATTTAAAGCACAAGAGAAACTCAGCGTTTTAGACAATTCGCCGAGTTCTCGGCTACCCCGCTAACTACTACAACTGCTCCGGGAAAACACACGATCAATGGATGGCAACCGGAGAGCGATGGCCAATTTTGGGACTTCTTTTGATTATTCTGGGCACACTTTATATCGTTGGCCAGCTCTTCTTATTATGAAAAGTATCTTTAGGTTCTCTATCTGCCCACCATTTACGCCATGATCAAGCTCCGTCTATACCGAAACGATTGCTACAAGGTATAGTGAGACAAATTGTCGGTATTCCAGTAAATGCTCATTTTCTAGATCATGTTCGCCTTGATTCTTGCCGATATAGGCAATCTCTTCGTAAACTCATTTATGGCTGGCTACATTTTCTCGCTCGATTGGTGGCGTGTTCTGCATGAATGCGGCTTTCTCTTTCATCGTTGGTGCATACAGTTTCAGTGAGTTCAAAGCTTTTTCACTTTTTTCATTTTCGAATCTTCAGTAATCTGGTCAATTGCCACCTATCTCTATGTTCTACTCGCATTAAATCGTTTCATAATTGTTCTCGACAACAAATCGCTTCATCAAGCGTTCATGGTGGGCGAAAGTCTCAGTTTTCCGAAAAGCTAGGATTTGATCTTAAATTGAAGTAATGTAGCCTAATGTACTTAGACTTTGCTTGAAAATGAATATTTAGAAGGTTCCATTCTCTCTTTGGCTCTCGATTGGGATAGTGTATGGCCTTTGGACCGGTCGAAGATCGGTTCCTTTTAACAGCAAAGCTTTCGGCGCTCTTTATATTCCCGTTATTGAAGATACTGCAAAAGTAAGAACATTATAATGATTATGAATGCAATTTAACTTTACCTAACGTTACAACGGTTTTAGGAAGTGCCGATGTACGCGAATATCTACCATGTCTGTCACAATGTGGCTATTGGCCTGATCATGTCCGGTTTATACGTGTTGATCTTCTTGCTGCTTGCTCGAAAGAGGGATACGAACAGGATTTCAAAAGGAGAAATGAATGTAGGTGGAAAGTCCAAAGCTCTTATCCATTTCTCAGGCCTTGGTCCAAGCCGTGTTGATCACTATACCCGCAATGATGGCCTCATGGATTTACGTGTACGTTCAGTTCTTTCAAATCGCTGCCCTGGAGATGGCCATCACTGCTCATTTTGCTTGGCAGACAACAGCTGGTAAGCAAATAGGGGAGAGAATCATTGATAGACTTGTTTGGGATTTTTGAGAGCAATCTTGTCGAAATTCCCAAGGTCCGACGTACCGAAGTGGTACGATTGTTGTCTGCTTTAGGCTTCTCAAGTCAAGTTCGCAAGGCTTTGACTCCGGTATTTTGTATTTAAGATAGAACATGTCCAAACAAGTTTGTTCAAATGCAAATGTTCCAGGCATCTCTGCACTCATCTACTTGGCCCTCAATCACAGTATTCGCCAATTCTACTTTGGCAACCGAGTCATTCATTCATCGTATCTCGAAGATTCAATCAAAACCCCGAAAACAACATCGACCTCTTAACTTCACAGATTTTTCCTAATAGGCTCCTTTGTGTTCAAGATGCTTTCTGGTTTGACTTTTCTTTTGTACTTTTTTGTTTCCAAAAATGTTCAATTTTAAAATACCACCGATTCTGAAGAGTTAGGGGTTAATTTGAGAGCAGGAAGACAAGAATTAGTGAAAAAGGTGTGTCTCAGGCTGGAATCGAACCATCGACCTTCTGAAAAATCAGACAAACAAATCACATTTCAAAGAGCTGTTTTTGCGCGAAATGTTTATTCAGCATGTTTTGACGAGAACTTGTCAGGGTCAGTGATACAAATCTTTGGCCGATACAAATGACACCACGTGCTGATCGGCATCTCATCTGCCAAATTCAATTTGTCTCTGCTAATTCCTGAATTTCATCAGATAGACGTTTCCCACTGATTATTTCCTATTCTTGGACCATGCAACTTTCGGGGTACAACTTCCATTCTCAATTAACAATTTCAAGGCTAATTGTAGTTCTGGAAATTTTATCCCTAAGCTATTGATTCAAGAAAAACCAATTAAAATCTATTAAAAGGGCTTGTTCTTTAAAATTATCAACAAATTTTCAAACACAATTGTGCAGAAAAGTGAAGTTCTCTTTCCTGTGAAGTTTTATTTGATGCTTTTACTTTGAATATTTCTGATTCTCTTGTCCTTCCTCTAAGGATCGTTTGTGTGATAAAGAGAGACGGAGCCCACTTTGTATTTTTTTCTTTTGGCTTTTGAAATACGGAACCAAAGATTTATTGTATTTTCTCGCTATTTTTCTTATTGTATTTTTATTTTCATAGACCCTGTTAAAGTTTTGGTTATTTTTGAGAAACAATTGAACACCAGTAAAGATCTACTATTAGGTTTGTTTAATTGAATTCTAGAATTTAATTGTAAAGTTAAGATCTTGTATCCAAGCCTGCTTCTGGGCGATCAAAGAAATCGGCGGGAATCGGCCATAAGTAGTCGCTTACCGTAAGCGTACAATACTCTGATTTCTCCATTTTGCTTAGTTTTTCACTCAAAACACTTGCTTCAATACCATATCCTTTCAATTCGATCGAATCAATGCGGACGATTCTCTCGTGTTCGCGATAGTTTCGATGATGATCTGTGGGAACAAGAAAAACAGCTAGATCTTCTCGCAAAATGTTTGGGATCTTTCGAAAGGAAAGCCCCGATTCAGCAATTATTGGATCGGTGGAATCTTCAGGGTTGTCTATTTTATGCGTATCGAATAACGTGACGTGAACATTGGTTTTTCATCATCAAATTTTCAGGACTTAATATGGTTTCGACCTTTATAAGGTGACGAGGGCTCAAGGCGAAGGAGTGTGACTGAGCTCTGGATCAACATATCGTTGATCGTTTCAACAGACCCTAAACTTCAATGTATCAGTACAATCGTATCTATAGACTCAAGAAGGATCTGTGAGAATAAGAAAACCAGCTCGATCTTCTCTCAAGCAAACTGTCAAATTTCTCACTAGCTCTTCACAAATAAGTGCACCAGTCCATTCTTATTCATTTCTCTGTTCTTCAGTACGAAAAAACTGCTTGTAAAACTATCAACGAATCGGCCCTAAAAAGAGTCCACCTTTTTTCAGTTTCAAAGCTTTTTGTGGCGCATTAAAATTTCTGATCGGATTAACTCCTAAAAGTGAGAGCGTCTTTCTTGCTTTTTTTGTAGAACAAACTTTGAACAGTTTGCATGGAGGTAATCCATTCTTTGTGACTCAAAAAAGACTTGGCTCGTTTTACGACCATTCCCGAAATTGAGGAAATATTTCGTTTCGCGACCTTTACTCTTATCTCCCTGTTTCCGTACTTAAGCGCCGTCAAAGAGAAGAAGAAATGAAGTCTTCTTCATTCTTCATTCATTGCCCTTTTCTAATTTTTAATGATTTTATAGCTTTAGAGAAATGTTTCTTTTCAAACTTGGGCTTCTTAGCTTTCTCATAATCTTTGGGCGAATCGAGGCGCATTGGGTAGGCGTTCAGTCAGTATTTGAGCGTTTGTTAAGGCTTAAGCTTAGGAGTCCATACAGCTTTAATAAAATATACCAGAATACATTGTGTGCTGCCAATCCTTACATACGTAAACAATGTTTTATCTTAAAACTCGTCTGATTGAATTATCAAAAGACCGAGGATGAGGAGTGAGAAACAAATTTGGACAATTCTAAATGTGTACAAAATTGTAAATCATGATGCCAAGCTATGGCTATTATACTTTTAAGGTTAACATCGTCTCGAATTTGGATTATCTATAACAGTAGTATGATTAGCTTTAGATCGGAGAAGAGTACTGGACGATCATCGACTGGAATGGTGCCATTACTGATGGCCGATCGGTTGACGACTTTTTGGAGGTTTCTAATCGAAGATATGCATTGCTTGAATCGGATCATCGATCAAAATCATTGATAACTCGGATCATTGATAAAAATTCAGTTAAAAAACTTCTTTTCAGATCCCCGGACCAGATGGAGGCACAACGCCAAACGGATGGGTGGCTTATTGGCGAGTTTTTAGGAATCACTAATCCTTGAACATCTTTTCAAGTATCTCCCTTTCATGAGAAGTTTATTTTCTATCGTTAAACTAATCACATTTACAGGATAACCCGAACAAAGTACCCGGAGATCCACTACGAAGCGTTCGGCCATGCAATCAAAAGAGATGATGGACGGGTGAGTAGGGTTTTCGCAGGTTGATGACAAATGCAAGTACTAGGTAAATCTAAATCAATCGAAAATCCTTGCTACAATTAAAATCAAGAATTCACTTTCAGATCTGCGGCTATTTTGTTGGCAAGGAGGAAGAAGTTGTTGAGGTGTGCGCTGGCTTTCGAATTCTCTCCCGTCATCGAACTGATCAAGCTGATGCTAAAGTGTTGGTCACTTTGGCTATAACCTATTTTTTATAGCTGGTTTTATAGCAAAAGCATAATTTTAGTACTTTATTATTTAGCTTTCAATGGGTGTTGGCCGGGCATGTGACGAATCGGGATGAGACAGTCGGATTCGTTCTTCATCGAATCGCCAGCACTAGACATGGGGAACAGGTGAGTCAATAAATAAAAGCATGATGTTTCTTCTGAAGAAAAGCTACATCAGGATAACTATTAAAATTGGTCTTTCTTTTGAACAAAACTACATTATCAGCACAACTTAAACCTCTCTTGTTTCACTTACAATTGTCGATGCAAAATGTCGATGAGCTTCCAGATCATTTACGGTGATGCGATGCTGTTGGACCGGCGATTCAAAGCCGTTCGACCAGCAGTGTTCGAGGATTCGATTATAAAAGTATCATTTTGTTTATATCTTTTTATTTACACTTAATCTGCTTTATATTCTTTATCTTTGTCATCTTACATCCCGTTCAGATCGGTGTACACGAGTTTCCCTCAAGGGTTTACCTTCTTGTCAAGCTCACTCCCGAAGTTGGACCGATTCGAACCGGACTTTATGAAGTGACTTGGATCATTGAAAACATTTTAAAATATTCTATTCACAGGGTCACTACCACGATCCACACACAGATCATAAAGCTCACGGACGACATGGACACCCTTTGCCGCTTCACCGACCACGAGCTGTTGAGACTAGATCAGCTAGTGAGTAGTAGATGAATTGCTCACCATAATAAAGTAAAGGAATGGCAAAGGGAGATTTCTAGAGAGGGGATTGAACCCTCGACATTTTTGCTTTCCGGGCAGAGGCACTAACCACAAAGCTAGTCGGTATCTTCTTTCCAAAGAAAGAGGAAATACAAGGGGAAGAGAAAGGAAGAAAGAAAAGGAATTCATAAGTCAATTCTCAATTCAGTTTGCGCTCCCGGCTGGTACGGTAGGGAATGTTCGGAAAGATGCTCTGAAGGATGTGAATTTCCGGAGAGATGTGATTACACTTCGGGATACTGTTCAAGTTAGTTAGCATCATTAGATTCCAAGCTCTCGATTTCTGGAATTGTAGATCAATATGATGATTTCAGGGTGTAAACAAGGGTGGTACGGAAGTGGTTGCTCGCTAAGATGTTATGCAGGATGTGAGAGCTGTGATCAAAATACTGGTCACTGTTTGAGTGAGTCACTTTGATATGTCTCAAAACTAATTTGCTCTGTATTACGAATTTGTGCATTTCCTTGACGTGGCTAGACCTGTGCGCTTGAATGAATAGCAAAGCCAAGTTTATTCAATGCACGTGGGTCAAAGCGTGTGAAAATGTTTCAACGAAGCTCCAAGAAACAATGTGTTGACCCAGAAACAGAAAGGAATCACTTTGATGAAAATTGTGAAAGTACGAACAAAAGAAAACAACTTTCACAAGACCAAATAAGAGAAAATTCTGACTAAATGAGGAAGAAGGTGTTCTTTTATACGGGTGCGAGTGCGACATTGTTTAGGGTACGGTATTTCTGGTGTCTTATTAGACTGCGGCAGCTTTTTGGTGACTCGTCGTCAAAATATATGTACAATTTACACATTGCTATCTTTTTGTAACCGATTTTCTATAGAATGACTCGATTTAGGCTGTCGCTTTGGATATCATGGCAGAGACTGCTCGACGAGATGTCCAGAAAATTGTGACGCGTGTGATCAATCAACTGGCTATTGTTTGCGTGGGTTTATCGGCAATTTCATCCTAAGTTCTGTTCATTTTTATAATGTCAATCAAGATTCCTAGCTTCTTAGATGCTTTAGGTTGTAAATATGGATGGTACGGTAGAGACTGCTCGGTGCGATGCCCTGCCGACTGCGAAACATGTGATCAGGCTTCGGGACAGTGCATCAGTGAGTGAAAATAGAAACAAATTGGCTTAATAAATTAAAGATTTCAAATAACACAATTAAATGCAATAGAAAGCTGACAAAAGTTTAGACTTCCGAGCTCGTCCACCTCCATCTCAACCTCAATTTTCACCACTTCCAAAAGGCTGTCACCGAGTGGTCACCAAGGATGGCCGAGAATTTGTGGTCACTTAATCCACATCAAAATTTGCGAACCCCTATTTAGAGCTGTTATCCGTATCACCGTTCTTCAAACAATACTAACGATAATGACAGAGTGGAAGCATCGGACAAACGCCTACAAGATCCAAGATCAAATCCAGTTAACCGTAACTACGATCCAATGTATAATAGTTGGCTTTTTTTGATTTATTGTTTGATGTTTCAGTTTTGATCCACGCTCTTCACTCTACGATCCACGATACAACCCATTTGATCCACAGTATGATGTTGAGAAAGACAGGGAGTGAGTGATGAACGATTGGATTCAAAGGATAAAGATTTACACATGCATAGTCAAGCATATATACTGCATTAATATAATAGTTGAACAATATTGTATAGTAGTAGAAGTTTAGGGAATTCTGGACAAAAAATCTTTGAAATATTTCAGATGGCGGGCCGCCAACCAGGTAACTGAGGATCATTCGGTGAGTTGGAATGTTCATGAACTGAAATGAGCTGTGCAAGTGTCTAGTTCTCTAACAGGACACTAAATAAACAAATTTCATTAGCTAGCTACTGAAATTGCCATTTTTTCCATTTCAATCATGTGCTTTGAGTACGACAACGTTTCAGGATCACGATCACTCTTAAGGAAGATCACGATGAATGTGTGCAAAATGATAAATGATGAACCTTTTTAAATCAAACAAATTTTATAAGCATGCAAGCGTTTTTAAATTACGCACAAATTTGGAAGCATCTGCTTTATGGAAACGGTTTTAAAACAAAAAATATGTATTCAACTTCATTTTCCAAGACACATTGTAGGACACATTGTACATCATCACAGCCAAGACACCAAGACCACCACAAGCATTTTACACGAAACCCCGATTTGCGAGCTAAAGGTAAAATGATACGATATGTGTTCTTTAAAGTTTTCAATCGTCTATGGGAAACCAGGCCATTTTCCAAATAACAGACTTGGTTTACGTAAAAGGAAACTCTCAAATTTCTCACTAGCTCTTCACAAATAAGTGTACCAGTCCATTCTTATTCATTTCTCTGTGCTTCACCACAAAAAACTGCTCGTAAAACTATCGGCAAATCGACCATAAAAAGAGTCCACCTTTTTTCAGCTTCTGATCGCATTAACTCCTAGAAGTGATAGCGTCTTTCTTGCTTTTTTCACAGAACAAATTTTGAACAGTTGCATGGAGGTAATCCATTCTTTGTGACTCAAAAAAAGACTTGGCTCGTTTTACGACCATTGAGGAATTGAGGAGGCTTTTCGTTTCCCGACCTTTATTTTTATCTCTATTTTCCCCTACTCCAGCGGCGTCAAAGAAATGAACAAGTGAAGTCTTCTTCATTCGCACAAATTTACTGCCTTTTGAAATTTCTAATGACCTTACGGTTTAGAGAATTGTTTTTTTTCAAACCGGCACTTGTTAGCTTTCTCGTAATCTTTGGGCGAATCGAGGCGCATTGGGTAGGCGTTCAATCAGTATTTGAATTTTGCACCACAGTGTAAATAAAACCTTTGTTTGCGTTCATAATCACGCTAATTCGACCCCAAAGTTTTGTTTGCAAGGCCAAAAATTACACGCTGCTAATCCTTACATGCCTAAACCGTGTTTTACTTTGAAAAAAGGTTTGATTGAATTATCAAAGGACTTACCGCTTGATCCACCAAGAATAATGCTATACTAAGAAAAGATCTGTACAGTTTCAATCATCCAAATCACTCACCGCAAGAATGTATGTTTGAGAGAACGAATGAGAATCGACGAATCGAATCATTTTCCCTTGCTTCCCAATGTCCTTTTATATTGTACCGATGGAGCCAAGCAACACATTGACATTATCTACACTGATCTAAAGCAAGGTATGCTATTGATAGAAAAGGGAAAGAAATTCAAGCATTTCAACAGAGATTATGATGAAGAGTTTTTAGGGAAAAGTGCCCAGCAGACATGTGTTCGTATCGGTGATTGTAACAGTGCTCGAAAGGGGCTTTTCGGTAAATAAAAAGCAGCGATCAGACCATTGTTAAATACTGTTTTTGTTTTGTTCCAAACACAGAATTTGTCAAAACTTTAGCGTATCGTCATTATTCACTCAGATTGTTGTGCAACTGAGCTAGTCAAAAAAAAAATTCCCATTAAACGCTTTATTGTAAAAACTAATTCTGGAATCCATCTTCAAAGAGATTATTATCCGGCAGCCTTTGCAATACAGAGTCCCCTTGCTGGGCCGCATGGAGCAGTTGTTGGTGGACAAAGAGAGCAAATCTCACATGGAGTGGCCGCAGAATTGTATGGAGGGGAATTGTTGGTCATTCCACTGAAAACAATAAATACTTGAGATCAGTTTGAAATCACTATTCGATTCATTCATTTGTCACAGCCTCCTTACCCGTTTGTTTGAAGAAGACAAGTGATACGATAAGTGCTTGTGTAATTCTTGTAAGCACAACCGATTGACAAAGCATTCTCACCAACAAACTAAACAATTCTTTTAAATACAAAAAGTGAGTTACTCTTTTTACCATCCAAACTTGATTTTGGTAATGCTGATCTCTGGTGATCGTTGTCGACAATTTGTATTGATAATTGAAGGTTGGAACTCCAGTTGAGGTCAAATATCCATACCACCAATTGTTCCATCCCTCCTCAACTGTAACTCGTCAAGTATCGAAAACCAGTCTTTATCCCATAGTCAGTGCATATAAATCAAAAACCTACACATTTGTTGCCCGGTAATTGTGTTGACTCCAGCCGTACCCGCCCAGAATCCAACGTTGATTTCTCCAGCTCCAAATGTATCTCCACGAGCATCCATCCATTGTGCAGCTGTTGTTGCAAGTGTGGCATTCCATTTCTGAAAACATCTCTTAACTCTTTTTCATAACAATCACTCACCAACGAATAGAGTTTCTTTGCTGGTGGCCAGAAAGAGTTTGACTAAAGCATTCAGATCAAAAAGATATCGAGGGAAGAAATCACCGGATTCGACGAGTTGTGCCAAGACTGACGACCCCAAGCGACATTCGAACGGAGTTGATTGACTTGCTAAAAAGGGTTTAATCCAAGATACTACGAATGTCATTTTGTATCTGCTTCACCCATTCAAATCACTCACCGCAAGAATGTAGTTGGCGACAGCAGCCGTATAGGGAACAGCCGTTGCTCCAGTTCCTGCAGCTACTCCGATGACTGGAGGGCCGTATCCAGAAATATTTGTGGCTGCGGTGGCTAAAAGTCATAATTGGCAGCTTTTGGTTTACTTTAGTTACCAGCTACAAGAATCGCAATAATTGAAAGAACACTCATGTTTGAGAGAACGAATGAGAATCGACGGATCGAATGATTTCCCTTGCTTTCCCATGTCTTTTTATACCACTTTTTGTACCAGATTCCGATGATCTTTCTCTTTAATCCCAGTTGATATTTCGTTTTTTATTCAATTCTAAATTTGTCCCCAAATCGTTCGATGATTTGTGACTTCTGAAAGGGAACACACAAAATGAACCTGATCGAATCCAATTGATCTTTCGTTCCTCGGATCAACAGGGCCAGTGAATTCAAAATGATCTATTCAAGGTGTTCTATATTGGGATACGGATCAAACAACAGCCGAAATTTTTCAATGTACCTGGGGATTTTTGGTAAGAATTGAATGATGAAAATTAGATGAGGTCAAACTTTTGAGTTAGGGAAATGATCGATGAACTTTTCAGAGTAAACTTAATGTCGTTTGTTCAATGGATAAAGTGCTTTTTTCTCTTGCTTTATTGAACTACTTTTTTCAAGGTTGCGGTAAGTTTTTTAAGGTTCAAGGTTTTTTTCAATCACAAGAAATCAGACATTTACTATTGACTGTCAATAACACAATGTTTTACAGAATTTCTCGAGATTTCTCCGTGTTTGTGAATTCTTGAAAAGAGTGCTATTCCTATAAAAAGAATTGCTGAAACTGTTTGACAGAAAGCGAAATTGCTGGAAATCCGGCCTCCAAACCTACACTTTACCGTAATGTTTTTGAGAAAATTTCTCGATCAACACGTTTGCACCTAGTCATTTAGTTTCAAGTCACAAGTCACAAAGACAAGAGACAAACGACAAAATTTCAGCTAGAAGATTGTTTAACTGTAAGTCAAACAATTGACAAAAGCTGGAAAAAAAAATCGTATAATTTGATGAAGTGGAAGTGGTGGTGAGTGGAAGTGGTTTACAGCTGTAAGAGCACCATTCACCAACCCACTTGATCCTACAGCCACCATCACAAAATTCTCCTTTTGGGGCCACCAAGTGTGGTGCAATCGCCCTGAAACAATTGATGTTTCATGAAATTATACGATTTTTTTTCCAGCTTTTGTCAATTGTTTGACTTACAGTTAAACAATCTTCTAGCTGATATTTTGTCGTTTGTCTCTTGTCTTCGTCTTTGTTCAATGGATAAAGTGCTGTTTTCTCTTGGCTTTATTGAATTGCTTTTTTTTTCTAGGTGACGGTAACAGGGAATCAGAAATTTACTATTAATTTAAATAGACAATGGTTAAATGAATTTCTCGAGATTTCTTCGTGTTTTTGAATTCTTGAAGAGTGGTATTCCCATAAAAAGAATTGCATAAGCTTCAAGTTTCTTTGAAAGTCGGATATAAAATTGAGTTGTTTTTGCTTCATATTTTACTATTAGTTTCTTGAACAAACTGAAATGATTGACCTATTTTATTGGTGATTTCTAAAAAAAGGAAGTAGAAGGTACAATTCATGCAGAAAGTGAGATTGCTGCAAATCGGGTCTCAGAACTATTGAATTCTTGAAAAGTGGTATTCCCATAAAAAAGCCGTTGCTGAATTGCTGAAAGTGTTTCACAGAAAGTGAAACTGATGAGACCAAAGTTTCTATTTCTGAAGCAAAATTCCGAACTTCATTCAGCATTTCCATTCATCTTTTTGTGTACTATAGTAAACTTTCCCAAAAAACATTGCACTTCAAATATCTTTAGGCAATAAAGGTTTAATATAAAATGAGGAAAATTGAAAGTCAAGGAAAAAAGCTGTGTTATGCAAAAAGCTATGCAAAAAAGCTAAGCTATGCTTGAAATTTTCCATTCTCTCGACCAAAATCCATTCTAACAAAAGAGATTCAGCTTTTCTCACTAAAACATGGATAAATCAACTCAAATATTCTCCTTAATTTTCCTCCTGGATGATTTCTAGGAGGCAGGAAGTAGAATTCATGCAGAAAGTGAAATTGCTCCAAAGCTGGTCTCCAAACGTACACTTTACTGTAACATTTCTCAGCAAATTTCTCGATCAACACGTTTGCACCTAGTCATTTAGTTGTCGGCATAAAGTACCCATTATCTCGAACGACTAGATGTAATATCCAATTTATGAGCATAAATGGAAAAAACCAGCATTTTGCAAGTTTCTACCTAGAGACCAAAGTTTCTATTTCTGAAAAAAAAAAACCAAGCTTGACATTTTCAATTCTCTCGACCAGAATCCATTCTAACAAAAGAGAATAAGCTTTTCTCACTAAAAAATTGAAGAGTCAGCTGAAATGTCCTCCTTGATTGTCCTTTGGCACATTTCTTCTCAATAAAAATTTCGTTGAATCTTTAAAAAGCACTGTAGA